AGTCAACCAAGACCACTCGCGTTTTCAAGACCAAGAACGTGAAAACAACGGCAAGTGTCCACGGGTGCCTCGATGCAGCAATGTGTCGAGGAGGCTCGTAGCAATCTCTCTAGGACAGCCTGCTCAGGCATTATTATCTTGTTTGCTCTATAGAGTAGGTAGGCGTCAGAAAGTTGAGAGAAATCCTCATTTCAGAGGGTGACATTCTCGGTGAAAAGCATAATAAGCAGCGTCACAAGCTCAGGGATTTTCTCCGGAGAAGCTTCAATTGAGCGGCCCTGCCCCCGTGGTAACCTTCCCGCGAAGTGACAGAGGGGAATGGTTGCAAACACGGCAGTGGATACATCTTGATGCACTCCTGTTCGAATGTGCCAGAAAGTTTCTAATAACCGTTTTGTTACTGAGCCCCAAAATAATAAACAACATACTAGTTCTCATTGGTCAAACCTATACGTCCGACCAAGATTTTGTTACTGTGGGACTGTATCACAAAAAATTGCGGTGCTGTGCACGGGAAAGCTCTGGATTTTCTGGTCATAATCACAATATTAGCCTATGTGTTTTTCATAGAAAATAAGGAAATTATTTTTGGGCTACTAATTAGACTGGCAATGATTTAATATAGCATAATAGCACTACTGTTAGCATAAAAAGACCATCATTCACTACAGTCCTGTTTGCTACGGTGGATTGACTTCGGCTGCCACGATTTGGGATGGAGTCGAAGGTTGCAGCTGTTTGCTCTGACCGGAACGCCAGTAATGTGGTCGACGTTTTTCCACCGTCGGAGGGCTTGCCCCGTTTCGCGACGGATCGCTTTAGTAGACTTACGACTCAAACCCTCGTCGTGCAGCTGATCGATGTACGTGTCGACGATCGGAACGTTGAACGCGGCAGAGCAAATGTCTTCGAGAGCGCGCACATCCGGTCGGCCATAGTTGGTCAGCGAGTAGATCATCATTTCTCCCAACGCATTCATTGTTGCCCTGCCCTTTTTCTTGTTTGTGTCTTTCGAGGTAATGCACAAGTTGGGCATCGCATTCCCGAGTTCATCGCGATAGAAGCCCACGACGTCGTCTCGCTCTTCAAGGTCTTCAAATATATTGAGTTCGCACATAAATGCAGCGATTTAGAGCTTCGCGCTTGTACTCTAAGTGATACGCCACAGAGTGCATTATCATCTGACGTGCGTTATACGGATCGCGATCACCGTCACGCGTCCTGATCAGTTCGAACATGCGGTCCCGAGCAGGTGTAGATACCAAGGATGAAGACGAACAGTACTGTTGGGAGCTTTTCAAGCTGCGAGGTCCAATTGTCCAGTCTTAAAGCAAGAGTGCGAAAGTGATTGGCAAACGCATCTAAGCTTCAACCTGAACGAGGCTACTATTAGCGTTGCTGCTGTAGTTGCTCCAATGTAATTCTATTCGATTAGAAAGGGTTTTACTTCGTTTTAATGTTCAAACGTTCGTTGAAAGAATTTGAATTAAAAAAATCTTTTATGGTAAGAATTTTCTATTGCCATCACTGTTCCCCAACTGTCACGTACTAGGACGACGATTTCATTTTGGATTCTGATGGAGAGAGTGTTCAAAAGAAGAGAAAAAAGAATCGACGAGAGAAGACAGACCTTCTTCACCCAAGCTTCTGGTTCAAGCAGGAGAGAGCAAGAGTGCTGTGGATGCCTCAGAAGACAGATCTAGTCTTCGTTCGTAAACCCTGGTGCTCGCGCAAGAAGAGACGCGTGAGCTTATGTCAACGGAAGAAGCGGAAGCGAACCAAGAAACGCGAAAGAAGACACGAGAGACGAGCGCCGGCTTTCGTTCGAGATCACGTTCCTGAATCTCAACAACTGCTGAAGCTGCTGCTCACATCCTGGTTCGACGTCGACAATCTGGCTCAAGCGACCCTGCCGTCCGGGTGGAGAACATTTACAACAAGATGGCGGATCGGTCCCGGGAGGATCGCATGACAAGACTGACATCTCGCGACATGGCTGTGAAGATGACGATGAAAACTTTCGAATTGAAGAATCGACCTATCGCAAAACTGGGAACGATGGCGGAGTACTTCCGGAACACGAGAGGATTGGGAAGGGCTATGCAAGTTCAAGATGAAGTTCGCGATTCGGCGTATCGGGATTTCATGAAAGCGACCAAGTCGTCGATTGCTGTTTTTTTTTTGTGGCTGCCTTGACGCGTGATGAAAAGACGACCTATCCCGACATGAAGTGCAAGAGTAAGTTCGCGCCGTCAAATTCGATCGAGAGATTACGGCGAGATCTTTCAAAGTTGTGGAACTACATGACCAAACTGCTCTTCGATTTCATCCGACGTTTTTCGGATTCGGCAAAAACGACGGGATTGTTATCCACGAGGATCTCCCCGCGGTAATGACGTCTGTTCGCTTGCAACGCTTGCGAGAAGGAGAGTATTATCTCATTGAACCGCGTTAGAAGGCGTTTTCTTGCTGGAAGACTGAACGGGCGTGCGTGATCGATTTCGGCGTTCGCAACTTTGTGACCGTATACCCCACGGCCGGACATTCAGCGTGAAGGACGCGCACAACGTCTTTAAGAGAAAGTTCGAGGCAGTGACGCGATGAAACCTATGCTAGCCGTCAAGGACAATGTCTGCAAGGACAGACACAAGGATAAAGTTCGGACGAAGATAAAAAAGGGCAGGAAGAGTCAAGAACACCGCCTGCGGTACCGTCTTCGCAGACGTATGAAGACAAATTGGGTTCATGCGTTTTTCTGGGGAATAAATCGCAACCAGTCGGCACCACTTTCGACCATATGCCACCACTTTTGACCACTTTTTGTGTCGTTCATATCCCCAGAATCTCCTTTAAACAGCACATAATCGTACTTACTGCTAACGTCCTGCACACAGCACACAGGCACTCAAGAATCACGACTCCATGAAGCAGCGACCACGTCGACGCCGTCTTCAAGGCAACGGCAAGCACTTACCAGACGCAGGAGACCGAGTAACACACGAGTACTAACACTGTTCTTACTCGCTTACAATAAACTGGTCTAAGCTGACGTTTTGTGCTCTGTTGTTGTTGCCGCTCGAATTCTTAGGTTGAGTGCAGTGCGAATTGATAGTGAGGTCGCCACATCTCTTCTTGCGCTGGCGGCAGCTACTGCAAGACGTCTCCCTGCTACGTTTCTGCAGTGTGATGCTTGGTGAGGATGTGTTAGCCACCTTCAGAGAAGTCTTCTTTTCCTTTAGTCGGCACCGAAGTGAGTTGATGGACAGTGGTAGATCAGGATAATACGACGTGTTTACGGCATGAATGTGCTCCCATTTTCCGTTCGCGTTCGGGATCGAGTTAACTTATGCGCGCAGCTTGCGCATGTGTTCTGGAGAAATTGTTTTACGGAAAATCGTCACGGAAACCTCGGGTGTGTAATGACTGGCATTTGCTGAACAAGTTTGAGCTTCGTGCGTTTCCGGTGGGGGTTTCTCGGTGGATACTGGTACTTGGAGGATATTGGCAGCCAACGGCCGTAGTAAACTCGGCTCAGTGACCAGGTTCGCAGATGGTATTGATTCTGATGCACCCGTCGGGCCCAGGGGGGTAATGTGAGGAGCTTGGGTTATTAGTGTGCATTTGTAGCGTTGAAGTAGTTCATGCCGACGGTGGAGCTGCTGATACTGGCTGAACAACTGCGGAAATGGGATATTTGTCCACCATTCTCGGAGTCGCTTCGTGAAGAGCTGATGATCGCTTTCATTTCCGGCGACAATTTAAATTTTAGCTTCAACTTCGCGTTGTTCGCTTGCTGCTTCATATTATTCCATTTTGCGAGCAATGCTGCTCCGGTCTTTGGGTGGATGCCAGTACAGACGCAACTCGCGAAGTCATACACCATCACAAATACTTGGCGTCTTTTTCGAACTCCGTCTAACCGTCGAAGTGCAGAGAACAACTGGGCGAGAAGTTCCTGCTCGCGCGGCTTAATTTCAGAACATGGGTCCGCACTCACAAAACGGAAAAGCCTCTGTGACGTGGATTCTTTCGTCCCTGGAGTAGGCTTAATGGTCAAGCTGTTAATCTTCGGAGCCAGTGTAGCAAAGCTCCGACGTCTCAGTTTGGGGCGTTGATTCGAGTTTGAGGAGACTACGATGTTGTACATCAGTGTGGTAACCAGCGGGCATTCAGACCAATTTCGCCGTGCTAGTTTCTGCTCCGTCTGCACCTGGCGAAGAAGTGCACGCTCCTGAGACGAAAACCCAGCGGCTGCTTCATAGTCCAGCTCCGCCAGACATAGTGAGTTGAAGAAATCCGCTTGGACAATTTACCGGTTTCAGTGAAGGCAATTCGCTTCAGGAGGAGCTCCTTTATGCTGTCATTGTGCTGCCGGGTGTGATGAAAACTTGCCTCCAGAGTCTGAGTGTCAACTCGAGCCGTCTCAAAAATTTGGCGCCATCTCTCGAATCCGTAATCAAGCACTGTAGATGCTCGGTAGGCTGGTTGACGGAGCGGTTTTGAGAGCAGCTGATTGACAAATTCAAGCTGCGGCGACTCGGCAATAATGCCACGGCACAAGGTTGCGGTCTGTGCGAGCGTGAGAATGTCAGCGTGGTGCATGGGCGGATTCCGTCCGTAGTTAGAGCTCACTTTCAAGTTGTGCTGCAAAATAAAAATGTCGAGGATGCGTAGACCAATATCGGCCGAAACCGAGCGAGCGAGCATCTTGTTGAGGGCAGAGTGGAAACCCTCGAGCTGACTGGTGGACACCACACGTACATCCTTACCACCACCCTCTCTGTAAATGTTGTCTTCCACGTACAGATCTCCACGTTCAATTTGTTTCAGGTTGCTATTGACGCTTCCCTGCCACTCGGATTCGCTGCAGTTAATACCTTCGCTGGATATGGAGCCAACAACATTCAGGAATCTGGACGACATCTGAGTCGGTTCGCGTAGCGCCCCATCAACTGATAACATTGCGTCATGAAGCTGCTTTGACAGCGTTTTCATCACCTTTTGGTCTTTGATGTTCTCAGTAAAACGTTGAATGACGTGAAATGGGTCCTGTCGGACCCCAACAGAGCTGTCGAAAACATTGGATACTAGATTGCGAATTCCATTGGCATGATCACTGATAACGTATTTTGATCCACTCTCAGTACCCGAAAATGCGCTCCTCACATGCAGCAGGAGCTCCCGGGTCTCGTCGTGATTCTCTGACCGAGTCAACCGCCGACCTACAATCTGGCCTATTTCATTCTGCACGAGCAGTAACATTTTGGCATCCGACATGCTCTCTCTTTTGCCGGTCCCGCTAGGCCACACTTTCAACCGCTTACAGAACTTCACGGAATGATCCACACGAAGTGCCTTTCGCACCTTTAACGAGCTCATTACCTGCTCACACAGAGAGCTGTATATATTTGTAGACTGCATCCACGCCGCCGACATTGTCTCGGCTCCAACAGGGTTTTGCTTTGAACAATACTGCCCCACCGAAGGTGGACTGGGCGCCAGATACGTCCGATTGGAAAGCTGGAGCTGGCCTACTTGGTCACCGAAAAGGCAAAGTAGTTTGTAGTACCGCTTCTCGCGGCGACGACGAATGTGGTCCACGGTACTGGACAAGCCGTGGGGAGACATCATGCCCTCGTGGATAAGCTCCATAAACTCCTTTGAAAACCCTCCTTTCTTAGACATCACAAACGGGAAATGCATAAGTAGCCCAGCTTCACTCTGTATGTAATCAGCGTTCACAGTCGAGAAACAGCCCTTGGTTTCGCCAGTGCGTTGATATTTCACGTAGAGCAGAAGACACTTGGTGTGTACGTCTTCAACAACCCGTTGCTTGTATTCCTTCACGCGCGGAGAGCAAGAGCACCCTGGCATTATACAGTGCGGTATATTCGATGCACGGAGGCACTCAGGAACCCACACGATCACAGGCCACGAAAAAAGCGAGGAGAGGAGAGAGTTGTCGTGACGATCCCCCGGATTTTGAGCCGCAGGGGGGAAGACCTTCCTGTTCATCGCCTCGTCAATGCGTCGCCTGACTTCCTGCTGCTCCAACCGATCTTCAGAGCTGGTATGGCTAATCGACTGCTCCATTCGTTCTTGCAGAGATTTTTGTAGTCAGTGCGTTTATCAGATTCTGAGAATTTACACACTATAAATAAATATCAAGCAGAGAATCGGATATCGGAGGTCGGTGTCGGATATGCCGAGGCCTGTCGGCCCCGGCATATCGAATAAACCACAAATTGGGAGGAGACCGCGTGTTCCGATGTACAAGCTGTCATGCGGTTCTCGACCGAGATGTGAGTGCTGCGAAGAACATCCTTCACAAGAACATAAGTTTGCTGGCTTAGCAGCACTTGTTATTTTACTGGCGAACCCTTCGTCGCGGAGTCCTGCCGGACCCTGTCCTGGTGTTATAGGCCCAAGAGACCTGGATGCCGAATGAAGTTGGTTACTTTGGCATCACAGATGATCTTCTTAGGGGACGCAATCGCGTCATCAACGTATCTGCAGTATAAAATAGATCTCAGGATGATAAAGGCTACAGTTGGCATGAAATGATAGCCACTTCAGTATTTTCAGAAATTGTTTTAAGGGAGACTTGTTTTTTAGAAATTGTGTCAGACCCAGCTACAGTGGTTAATGTTCGATTAATTACGAATGGAGCCAGGTTGAACCGTGGAGAAGAACAGAGAATTCCTTCGGTAATTCAACGTTTGACTCTATGCAGCTCAGAGCTTCAGTGTCCAAGCTCAGAGCATCAGCGCGTAATGTAGCACAGTGCTGCATGATGACACAGCCTGGCTGCCAGAAGAAAAAAATGTAAAAAAAAATGGCCGCACAGTACAGCTTCAGGGCCGGAAAACGTCGACGTACGTTATTAGATTCCGTTTTGGTTCCTGACCGTCACTTATCGTGACCTGTCAGCCGAGCTGGGGGAACACCCGCTGCTATCATTGCTTCGAAATGTTAGTTTATGCACCATTTTTGTGACCACACTACGGTGACTCATCAAGTTTGTTCGGAAGATGTTTGACATCCAGTTGTGTGGGTAAGTGGTGTCCTACACTCCTATGTCGAGCGTGGCTTTAGTGGATTATATCGACTTACTTGCAATTCCACTGGGGGACATCCATACACGCCATATCTCTCAAGTGGAATTTATACTCGGTCATTTCCATGGATTTCCTACCTCGGCGACACCTCTCAGCTTCGATTGGGTCTAGTCCACGCTTTCCCCGCAGGCACATCTCATGTGCAGGTACTTCTGCTGCGCCAGGCGACGGCGTTTGTTGCTAAAATGTGGAAAACCACACTACGATTTGCAAGCCCGTGGCTTTCGTGAATCTTCGCGGGAAACGTCTGATGTTACGTCATTCAACTTTGTGCTGCGCATTACGTAGGTGCAGAAAATGGATGGAACCCAGGCTGGCATAGACCCTGACCCAGATCTTCCCCTCCTTGCTGCTGAGGTATAGGACTGACTTCGCTGGAGGAATTCGCACTCCCGACGTACCAGGTCAGGTCAACACGGTACCCACGACCGCTGGTTCGTCTGATTTGGAACTGAAAATCATTCTGCCAATATGCTGTTTGGTGTAAATATGAGCAATCGCCTTATCGACCACTTCCTATCTTCAGAAGACCCCGAGGCGCTCCAACAAGATCGTATGATTGTCCATGACGACAACCGGTAGTGTGGACCTGAACCAGGGCCTCCTTTTCAGATCCTTCGGGCGGACCAGTTTCATTATGTTCTCCATTCAGTTCAAGAGGCCGCAACACTCTGGTGTTCGATCAACTTGGCTACCGTTTTCCGTACCATCCACGGCACCGCCACAAGGGATTATTCAGCATGGCATCTTTCTCCTGAGCGCTGTCTGTACCCCGCACACACGTGATCTTCTCCGTAGCAGGCCTGGCCTGCGCGCGGTCTCTGCCCTGTACGAACGTGATATCCACGCCCGCGGTGACTGTGCCCTGCAGCGTCACATCGTTGTCATTCTTTTCTGAGGTGTCGGTGCTCCCCACAGACACATTGGCCGTGTTCACCGTCTCATTCCCGGAACGAGACATTAATATTCGCGTCGTTACCGCTGATACCGCGGCGGTATTAGTGTTATTCTGCGGTTGACTTGGCGCAACCATTAATCCTTCCCCACTCAAGGAGGAAGACACGTACCGAGCAAGCTCGGAGGCATGGGTGCCACGTGGCATTCACGCTGAAGGGTGTATGCCCCGTAGAGGCATGCACCGAGTTGCTGGTGGCAAACTCTGCTATCGGTAAGTAGTCGCACCGCTGCGGGAACGAGAGTGCATAACTCTTCAGCACGTCACCGAGCACGCGATTCACGCGCTCGATCTGCCTGTCCGTTCACGGGTGATACGTAATCGACATCGGCAATTGAGTTCCAAGAAGTGTAATCACTTCTTGTCAGAACCGCGCTGCAAAGCGAGGATCACGGTCTGACACAATGTTGAGCGGTACTCCATGGTGTTTAAACACTATGGCAACGGATAGGTGTGCAGTCTGCACGACTGTGACATCGGCTGGTGCTGTGGCAAGATGCACCAGCTTGCTGAATCGGTCAACAAAGACCACAACGCTAGTCCTCCACTTGTTAACAGGCGGAAGTCCGAATACAAAGTCCATAGAAATAGACTGCCAACACTCAGACAGTGTCGGAAGTGATTGTAATGGAGCCGGCGATGATGCAGCTGGCTTCACGCGTTGACAAACCTCGCAAGCACGTACGTACTTGCGGACCCACTTGCACTAGTGATTCCAGTAGAAGTCTCTCGTGAGAAGAGCGTACGTCTTCTCATCGCCCAGATGCCTTGCCTTAGGGCCCCGTGATACTCGTACATGATCCGCATTCACAGATCATAATTGTTCGGCACGACGATGCGATCCGCATCGTCTTCGCTGTAAAACAGCAGTCCTTCGTGCACACGATAGCAGTGCTCACGCAAGTGCGTTGCTAGCTTCCGACGTAACTTGTCGGAAGGTGCTGACGCTTAATCCAGCAACACCTTCGCGCCTACGGTGTTCGCATACGCGGCTTTCACGTCGTCGATCAGCGACGAGGACGGAGTACTCATTTGCTCGACGCCAATCCGATGGACGTGGGCTGTCGTAACAGAATAAACGGGTCAGCGTTGCGAGTTGCGCGGCGACTTCACTACCATCCGCAGTCGAGCGTGGACGTTGTGGACCCCCAACGGTGTACTCCCAAGTAAATACACTCAGAACATCGCCAGTGCAAACACTATGGCAAGGCGTTCCTGGTCATGTACCGGATAGTTACGCTCAGCTCGCTTCAGCTGGCGTGACTGGTAGTAGACCACACGATCACGGCCCTCGTGATCGCGCTGCGTTAACGCGGTTTCGATCGCAAAGTCGGAAGCGTTACAGAAGACGTGGGATGGGCGATCTTGGTCAGCCACTTCCAAGACTGGCGCCTTAGGCCAAACCTATCTGACTGCATCGAAGGCCTGCTGATACTCAGCAGTCCAATTCCACTCAGTTTCCTTCTTAAGAAGCTTCAAATCTTGCCCACGTAATTCTTAACGTACTTGTACAAGTATGTTGCCATCCCAAGGTACTGCCTCAGTTCTATGACGTTGGATGGCGTAGACCTTTCATTGGTCACTCTGCCCTTCTTTGGATCAGGGAGGACGCCATTCTTCCATACGGTACGCCCCAAGGACGGGTATTGCTGCTGCCCCAAGGATGCACTTGTTCATGTTCACTTTGATCTGACAGAGGTGCTCTTTGGGCACCTCAACGACCGACTTTCCATTCACCGTCCAGCTGTGCACAAACACATCGTCAAAGTAGCTCGGCCCGAAGTCGCGCACCGAGCACAATTGATGCGTCACGAGTCAATTGATGGTGGCAGGGGCATTCTTCAGACCCTGTGGCGTTACGAGCCACTCCCAAAGCATGCCGCTTGGAGTTTTCACCGCGGTGAGAAGGATGTCCCTCTCACGCATCAAGATCTCATAGAACCCGTCCCGCAGATCAAGAGCACTAAATATGGTGCTCTTGGCCATCGAATCAATGATAACATCTTTTCGAGGTATCGGCGACAGCGCCTATATCGTACCATTGTTCAGCTTGTTGTTCGCATAAACGATGCGCCATCCTTCTGTGATTTATTGACACAGAAAGTTGGTGACCTGCGGGGAGACTTTGATTCCCACACTTGCCCTGCTTTTCGACGACTTTCAGAAAGTCGTCGATCGTCTTTACTTGATGCCACGGCAGTGGCCACTACCGCGTCACACAGAACTTAGTACTCGACACGAGATCAAACTCATGCTGTATACCTTTGGCCTGCGTAAGCTCCACAGAAGTCTCATCCGGAAGCACATGGTTGTGCTCCAGCAGAACATCGAACAAGGAACATGATTTTAGCGAGCGCCTACTCTGCTCTTCGAAGCGCTGCTTCTTAGTCTTCACGCGGAGAGTGTCATCACTCTCGGTGATACTCGCTGCGTGGAGTCCCATTAACTTCATCCCTTCGCTTTGCATCCTTTTAGTTCCTGAGAGGATGCAATACCTGCTCAATGCATCTGTCGAACAGGTCCTTCGCGACGTTCGTCCAGCTCATTGCTGGAAGCGACGTCAACCCCGACGCTATTATTGGAGTATTCTCCAATTGCACTGACCTGTGCTAAGGTCAATACAATTCCGCTCCAAGAAAGTCAATGTCTCGACGCTCATTGTCTTCTCCGATGTCTGCCCGGCAGACATCTCTCGTAACGTCTCGGTCCCAGGCAGAGTCTTCCGCAGCTTGCGTCACTTGCGCCTTCTTTTATTCTTGTGAAGCCCAACTTCGCGTGTTCTCGTCTAGGCCCTGATTTTCGTTGTTGTAACCGTTGGTGGATTCTGTTTGGTGATGCGAATGATCAAGTCCGGCTGTTTGAATTCTGCTTCTTTGTGCAGCCCGCCTGTACGTGGTTATGCAAGCATTTTCAGAATTGGACGTTTGCAACCACTGACACCTATTGCCGCGTCGAAACTCCCGGAGTTGACGCACTAATGTCACCTCGACGCCTTGCGGCGGAGTTCCCTCTCGATATAG